GTACAGGTTCTTACCTATAAAGCCCTAAACTGTTTGGGACCCGCCTACCTTCATGACCGTATCTCTCCATAAACCAGCCCGAACCCTTCGATTTCGGGTGATGTCCTCCTTTCGCCCTTGCCCGTCTCTCAGATTCGCCTTGTGGGTACAAGGGAGAGAGCCTTCTCCTCTGAGGCCTCCCGACTCTGGAATTAATTGCCCGGAGAGATTAGGAAAGCTCCTACGTTAGAAACCTTTAAAAAGCCATTGTGCTTTTGGAGAGTAGCCACATAACCTTATGCTAGTGCTCCCTCAACGTTCTTGTCCCAGGAGTCCCCCCCCCCCCATGTATGAAGGTTTGCTTATTTTCCTATCTCCCTATGAGTTCTCCCTTACAATTAGTTCTGCCCCCTTATCTCTCCTGGAGTTTTTAAATCATTTTATGTACATGCGGCCCACTCTCTGTCATTATGTTTGGTTCCTATGTTCTGTGTATATTGTTTTATATGTTTTGATGCTTTACATTTTAATGTTATGTTGTTTATTTTATTGCAATTTGTATTGTTATATTGTAGTTTGTTGTTCGGGCTTGGCCCCGTGTAAGCCACTCCGAGTCCCCGTTGGGGAGATGGTGGTAGGGTATAAATAAAGATTATTATTATTATAAACATTATTATTATTATTATTATTATTATTATTATTATTATTATTATTGCAGTAAGCCGCTGCAAGTCCCTCCGGGGAGGGGGGGCAGGGTATAAATAAACATCATCAACATCATCATCATCATCATCATCATTATTATTATTGCAAATGACTCATAAATCAAGAATGGGAGTGAGACAACAGGAAATGAGAGAAATTGACTTCTTGGAAGGGAAATCTACTCCTGAAAGAGTTATCAGGTGCCTCCACAGAATCTTTATCACCACTCCTTGTTTCCACAACAAGCCAATTTTTTCACAATCCAAAGATCACAGGGACAGAACTTGAGCTAAAATCTTCTGAAGAGGGGTACAGACAGCAAAACAAACACCACAGGGATATTCACCTTTTTCTATGCTATCAAAAGATTAAAAATATATATCTTTGGCTGGACTTACAGTTAAAAACTGTACCTTTTCTAACTTACATACAAATTTGAGTTAAGAACAAACCTTCAGAACCTTGTTTGTAACTTGGGGACTGCCTGTATATTTATTTGCACGTACGTAAGTATTGAGATATCTTGTAGATGAGACCCAAGCCTAAGTCCATACTTTCTTTGTGTTCCAGATACATCTTTACAGAGTCTGAAGGGCATTTCATATGCAATATGTTTTATTAATTTTGCGTATGGAACAAAGTTTCTGTATATTGAGTCAGCAGAAAGCAAAGGTGTATCTGCCCAGCCAGCTATTTGCTCAAAAATCTGGATTTTATAGTATTTCATATATAAGGAACGCTCAGTGTTTGCATATTGTTGGTTCTGAATAGGGTTTGCTGAAACATAAAGAACTGTGTTTCTTTTGTATGGTCTAAGGGCCTAGGCTGGATCTACACTGCCATTGTTGATCCATAATGCAATTTAACTGCATTATATGGCAGTGCAGTTTCAGCCATATCCTTGTTCTTTCTACTTCTTGCAATTTTTTCTGTTAAAGAACTTTGTAAATGGAAGTATACCTGTACACTGCTTTCAGTCACCATGGTTTGTAATGTGTTCAAAGAATCATCGAATTATTGAGTTGGAAGAGACCTTGTGGGCTGTTCAGTTCAACCCCCTGCCAAGAAGCAGGAAAATCGCATTCAAAACAACTCCGCCAGATGACCATCCAGCTTCTGTTTAAAAGCCTCCAAAGAAGGAGTCTCCACCACACTCCGGGGCAGAGAGTTCCACTGCTGCATTCATAGCAGTGTGAATCATACTAGGACCCATATTGACTTGTGTTAGTGAGTAATCCAATAAGATTTCTAGGTGGATGACTTTTCCCTCACATTGACAGGATCTGTCTTGTATATTGTTACCTTGCAGGTCTGAAAGAACTGGTGAAGCAAAGAAGCAAGGTTCTTCTTTAGGTCATCTGTCTGCAGACTGAATAGTAAGAGCTGTTGCCATGTCACCTGGATTGGGCAGGTAAGACCGAACAGCTGTTTTTACAAGATGGAAAGAACACTAAATAAACAATGCAACATTTAACATTATCCCACCTTCATCTTTAAGATAAAACATATTCCAAACTTTAATTAGTTTCATAAGAAGAAGAATTTCTCCAGCTCCACATTTCAAATGAGGTGATACTATTCCTATGTAGTTACTTCACTGTCCAGCTTCCATTGAAAAATCATTCGCAGGGTTAAATGTTGTGAACTAAAATCCTTGGGTAGCTGCCAAGGAATCAGTAATAGTGCCCATTGCTACTCCTTGCTTTGAAGCTCGCTTGATGTGACTCCCCTGTGATTGGACACTCCAGGGACTGTCAGGTGGATCTAGCCATTCTTTTATTTTCCCTTAATAAAACTGATCTGGTGACACTGGGGCATTGTGGATAATTTAAATTTGAACCCATCTTCCTAGCGCTGTTTGGAGCACTGCCAACTGTTATTATTTTTAAGTCTATCTATTTGTGTGATTTATGCAATATATTTATACAGTGTGTGGTTTACTGTTTATATGATTGGGTTGGGGGATGCTGATGTGTTTTTGTATCAAGTAGTCTTGTTTTTCACCCTTTGTTTGCTGCTTTGAGTGCCACCAATGAGATAAAAGCGGAATAAAACTAACTAACTAACTAACTAAATAAATAAATAATATCTACTCTAGTGTAATGAGGACAGCCACTAAATGACATTCATAACTTTTCCTGTTGCCAAATTTTTCAGGACCCCAACATTGAGCTAATGAGACCCCATTTAGGATCAGGACCGACAGTAACATACTCTCCAACTGTCCTAATTTGGAAAGAGCAATCACCATTAATTCACTGTTGTCCCACAGCTTTTAAAATGTTTTCTCTCTTCTACACTTTCCCTTTTGGCCTCAGCTTACTTCAGTTGCTGAAAATTGAGTGTAAAGTGCAAAAATAATTTGCTTTCAACTCAGCTATAGAAGAGTGGCAGAAACTTGCAGTTTCTAGTAGCCTCAGGCAAAAGCAATCAGCTGCAGCCTCTCCAAGCTTACCTGTTCTTCCCCATTCGTGATTTTTGCCATCTTGACCACGCTCTGATGTTGCTTGGCAATATGTGTCCCAGTGTTCATCTATGAAATATTGGAGGATATGGAGCAGTGCTTTTTAAGCTATCTGATATGTGGGACTGTCTGGGGTTCCCACACAGCCTTTGTCAAGGACCTACAATTGTTTCTTTCCTGGAGACTCACTGCAGACCCATACTTTAAGTGTCAATCATTTTCATCGAGGACCACATCAGCCTTATGGTTGCCTTCAAAGAATCATTGAATTCATGGATGAAGAATTCGTGGATGCAGGGGGCATACCCAATTTGGGTCCCCAGATGTTATTGATTTTTAACTCCCATCGCTTTTGATAATGTGCCATGCAACTGGGAACAATGGGAATTGCAACCAAACAGCACTTGTGGCTCTGAAGTTGGGGAAACAATAAAGGATATTTTAAAGTCAGACATCATATCCACAAACCTTATATTTATTTATTTATTTATTTATTTACTCCATTTGTATACCGCATTTATCAGCCTGAGACGGCGACTCAATGCGGTTTACAATAAAAATGGGCAACACTGACAGTAAATAAGACGCACATACACAAACAACACACATAGTCATCAACGCCTCAATTAGAATCAGATCCCGTTCTCACAGTCCTTTTCCGTTCCTTGTTCAAAATGCCGTTTTACTGAGTTAGTTGTCATTGCATAGTTATCCAAACGCCTGTTCATAGAGCCACGTCTTCACCCTCCTCCGAAACACCAGCAACGAAGGGGCCTGCCTGATGTCCACTGGTAGGGCATTCCATAGCCGAGGGGCCACCACCGAGAAGGCCCTGTCTCTCGTCTTAATTTTATATCTTAATTTTAATTAATATCTTAATTTTAACCCCATCTCCTGAGTAAACAGAACAAACTGCAGACTTCCAGATGTTACTGTAACATAGCTCCCATAAGCTTTAAAGATGTCTAATGATGAGGAATTCGTGGTCCAGCATTTCTTGGAGATCCACATAAAATGATATGGCAGGCCAAATTCAGCCTATGGGCCTTGAGTTTGACACATGTGCTGTACGCAATACCACACTGGAGTGCCCTGCTTTTTGGTCTTCTCAAACCTGGAGATGTACCTGAACTTATTTCATATGTTGACTACCTGCAACATCCTTTGCTGTGGTTTAAGGAACAAACAGCATTTTAAAATAACTGTTGACAAGGGAAGACTTTCCTTTTGTAGATTCCAGATCAATTAAGTGAATACTGATTTCCCCGTTACCTTCCCTGAGCATCATTCCTACCACTGCCTGTTTGTGAACATCTCAGAGATGGGATGGAGAACAATCCCCATCATCATATCCTCATGCAGGACACAGCAGCTTTTACTTGCGACTGTGAGTTATTCCTCTTCAGTCCTTTGCATGTGGAGACTACTACTGCTCGAGAGAAGTAGTAGAGGAGGCTGTATTAGGTGGACTGCGGTAAGGGTGCCACGGGCTGCGCTAGAAATCCCAACGGGCCTAATCAGCCCCCTGGAGTTTCATGTTTGACAGCCCTGGTATAAGTACGCTTGAATATTAATGCATTAGCAGGAGGGGGAGTACCCTAAGCACAGCCCGAACCCAGATTAGCTGCCGGAGAATACTAATGAGATGATATATGCAAATTGCTTGCTCAGGGAGATAATCTGGAATGTTAATGAGGTGTGGAGACAGATATTAGCTCAGCCAGTCATATCTGAAGGAAAAGATAATCTCAAATATTAGCAGTATTTAATACAGGACAGGTAGCATCGCATCACCAGGGCTAAGCACATTGAATAACACTGCTGCCTCATACGTGACATTTTTTTGCTAAAAGGACAGCTAGTAGAGAAGGAAAAACATATTTCATCATCAGTTGCTCACCAAGGACTATAGCGCATAATAGGATATGGCAGTGAAGCCTGCCTCTATTTGCAACAGCGAACAATTCATCAACAATTCTTTTAAACGTTAGGTGCATAAGTCTTCTGAAACATGTCTGTTGGGCTCACAGATTACATTTGTATGTATGTACCTCTTTAAAACATGGCAAATGGTACAACCGTAATTGATGTAAGTAGAAGAAATTCAGCAGATCCGTCAGCTTTGTGCAATGATGAAGAAAACTAACAGTACTGCTGAATTTCTTGTCTACTATGCAGCTGTGTAAGAGATGCCTCCACCATAAAGAAAAAAAGCAAATGGCAAAATATTGGTTGTTCTTGATCCCTCTCCATAAATATGGAAAGCTGGATTGGTTTTACTGCACCCTTTGAAAATTAAATTTCTGGGAGGTACTCACATCATTGACAGATTCTGTAAAATCCTTAAAAGAAATGTGAAGTATTTAAACTTCTCAGCACACCTCAGTTGTTATTTTCATGCAAGGATGATATTAGGTCAAGTTGCTGCAGTTTCACTTCCTAGCATGATGGTCATTTATATTCTCAATCCAGCTTTTGATGTTTCAGCATTTTTTGCTTCTTTCTTTCTAAAGGGACAACAACCATGAATAAATACTGGCATATAGGCATATTTCTGTGTACAGGTGTCAAAAATTGGAAACAAGAGCTTCATTGGAACTGATATATAGCACTGGGACTGGATGTGGGAAACTCAACTTCAGATCATATGCATCTCTAATAACCATTCCCATTCACATGTATGGTACAAGGTTGTTCAAAAATAAAATGCTCTTATAATTTCAAAATAAAATAAACAATGACAATGTGTTGTCAAAGGCTTTCATGGCTGGAATCACTGGGTTGCTGTGAGTTTTCCGGGCTGTATGGCCATGTTTCAGGAGCACAATGACAAGTGGGTCCTTAGGTGGCTGTGGAGTCCTATTCTTGATCCACATGTTCTCCCACAGTGAGGACATAAGTTTCCAGTCCTCACTGGAATGCAGTCCCAGTCAGGGTTGGCTTGATGGGCCTTCCTCTAGGCACGTTTCTCCATTTCGCCCTTTGTTCATGCCTCTTTGAATTCTGCAACACTGCTGGTCACAACTGACCTCCAGTTAGAGTGCTCAAGGGCCAGAGCTTCCCAGTTCTCGGTGTCTATGCCACAGTTTTTAAGGTTGGCTTTAAGCCAATCTTCAAATCTCTTTTCATCTCCACCAACATTACATTTCCCATTCTTCAGTTGGGAGTATAGTAACTGCTTTGGGAAATGGTGATCGGGCATTCGGACAACGTGGCCAATCCAGCGGAGTTGATGGCATAAGAGCATTGCTTCAATGCTGGTGGCTTTTGCTTCTTCCAGTACACTGACCTTTGTCCGCCTGTCTTCCAAAGAGATTTGCAGGATTTTTTGGAGGCAGCTCTGATGGAATAATTCCAGGAGTTGAGTGTGACGTCTGTAGACAGTCCACATTTCACAGGCATATAGCAGGGCTTTATAAACAAGCACTTTGGTCTCCCTACGGATGTCCCGGTCCTCAAATACTCTCTCCTTCACTTGGAAGAATGCTACACTCACAGAGCTCAGGCGGTGTTGTATATCAGTGTCAATATTGACTTTTGTGGAGAAGTGGCTGCCAAGGTAGTGGAAATGATCAAACTTTTCTAATGTAACACCATTAAGCAGTATTTCTGGCATTGCAGAAGGATTGGCTGATGACATACATATGGCTTTTTGCTGTTTAATTCACAGGATTTGGAATGGTCAGGACTTAGGAGACATCTAAAGCCAAGAGAAAACATAGACTCTTCTTAAAGTCTCATTTTCAGGCTTTTGACCTTTTAATAGGTTCTAAAGTATGTGTTTCATTTGAACATCTTTTAGAATACATCCACTTACCCCTTCTCTTCTCTGAGAAATATCCATTGTTTAAAGCAATTAACTTTGATTGATGGTGTATTCCCTTATTTTGACAAACTAAATTTATGTAAATGCCTTCTTGACAGTAGGCAATAATTTGTTAAATAAATAAATTGTTCAGTTATCGTTCACATAACAAATTAACTTGGACAAAGGATTTTTACTCTCGTTAGCTCAGCTTCCATTTGGTTTAAGTGGTAAATGGAAGGAAAGCCAGGAACATATTAATCTTTCAAAAAATGCGTGTGCTTGCTTTTTTTTTTATTGGTAAGGACAGTTTCTCCTGTATTTTTCATGTAAGGTAGATAAGCCACGACTGAAGAACCATCAACATATAACACTGTTACTCATCATTAGAGAGAAAAGATCCACAAGGAACAGCTGGAAACATCTGTTTATTGAAAAAACAAAAATTACAGCAAGAGAATCTTTATAACAAATGGATCTGTCCCTTAAACAACATCAATCAACTCTTGCGCCTGTGGAAATGTGGCGTTTTGCTTATAACTGGATGAAACCAGTTTGGTTTTTATCTGTAATGTTTTTTGTTTGCTTGCTAGCTGTACATAGCATATGATCTTACCCGATAAAGGCTGCAGTCCTATACACACTTCCCTGGAGTCAACCCCGCTGAACACAGTGGGATTTACTTCTGAGAAAATAGCCGTATGGTTATACTGTAAACCAGATGCCCAGGAAGTTGTGTAAAATATTATTTTTGAACATGAGAAAGAAGCAGGGGAAGGCAAGATATGTGTGCCTATATGATAAAGAAGGCAAACTGCATGTGAGGGACAGTTCTGTAACTCTTCCTTTTCTCAACATTTTGTTTCAAAGCAACAGATCTGGAGGTAATGCTGGACACCAGGGAAAGTTTGCTTAACGTATTCAGTCCTCCTGTATTTTCCAAAGGATGTGCCAGTTTCTTATTTGTAAATGAAATAGTACAGAAGAATAAAGGAACTGCTCACTATGTGTAGTTTTCCAGAAGAAAACTTGTTCTCACCCTTTTGTATCCATCTCTGTGTATAAATGTTGCTATCCCAAACTTCACCGGCAGTGGGAGCCTCTAAATGATCCAAATCCACACATCAGCAATGGTCTCTGGTGTTATAGCAGCAGAGTGATGTTGGTGCATAGATTTGAAAGCAGAGGTGAGAAAGGATTATGGAGGATTACATTTGAACCATCATCAATGATCTCCAGTGTTAAAGCAGTAGAGTGATGTTGGTGCATGGATTTGGAAGCAGAGGTGAGAAAGGACTAAAGAGAATTACCTTTGAACCATCATCAAGCAGTAATTTCAGAAAGGAATTCACATATTTTACATTTTCTGAAAGTGTTACTGGGAGAACATCTGAAAGAGACAATGGACTGTATGAGCAAGTACCGGAGGCCTCTTGGTTATGGGCTTTCTAAGTCAAGTTCTTCATGGTTTCCTTCAAAAGGTCTGGAAACCATTTTCCAACAATGACCTGAAATGGCTTTGTAGTTTCTCAGCTGTTCTCTAAGATTTTTTTTTGTATAAAAAAGATCAGAACTGCTACTTCTGAAATGTTGTTTTCTTCACCTCCATTCTAGAAATCCCTGTGCTGATTCATATACTACAGTTTTCCTATTCTAAAACAATCTCTTTACCATGTTAGAAGAATAATACAAGTGATTTGCACACTGAATTCACTGACTGAGCAGCCATCGCATTTACCAGCACATTGTGGTTCACCCATTACCCATTACGATAAACATTTACTTTCCTGGATGGACATTATCTCCATGGAGAAGAATATTAAGTTGGGGAGAGGTTCTACCCCATATTTGTGTATTGAGGAGCGTGCTAAAGGTAAATCTAACATACTAACACTCCTGCAAAGTGTTATAACTTTGTGGGTTTCCCAACAAGATTAAGTCTTCCTTATGAATAAGCCAATCACAGATAAGTCTTTCCCATCCTACTTCATGTCTCCAGGTCTGGGTTTGCTGGTGTGACCATGTGTATGGCTTATTTTAATCTTTTTATCACACACGATAAAGAGACAGTGTTGGCTCCCAAACAGTCTCAGATCAATACAGATACAGATACATATTATACACAGTTCTTTTCTTCTATTATTAAAAAATCAAGCAAAAGAAAAATGACCGACAGAATCATAACTGCTGATGTATATGCATGCCAGCAGGCAATGGAAGTTATCCTAAATGTCATCACATAACGGGGCCTCTGCTTGACACCAGAAGTAGTTGGAAACATGGTTTGACCCAACCGCAAAGCAGGAGAAAAATCAACCCAACTCCAGAAGAATATAGAACACTGACCTTAACTGTAAAAAAGAGGTATTTTGGATAAGCTATTCAATTTTGTTCTATAGGAAGAGAGTAAGCCATATCTGGAAGGAGGCAAATACTAACTTAATTTTACAGTGAAGGAGGCATTTAAAAAAAGCAAAAGAGATGAATATCTGGTCATTTTTCTGCTCACAAAGATCCTTTATTATCTTCTGAAGTTTGGAACCTTCAGCAGAATTCTAAACATCCACAAATTGATCTTGCAGGAAAGGAGAATACAAATCTGCTTTAAAAAGGAAGAAGCTCCAGTGGAATTCTACAGGAAGGGATTGTTAAATTCACTATATCATAAGGACTCCAAAATGTAAAAGAAATGCCTTTAATAAGCTTATTTTGGAAGGTGTGATGAATGCTAGCTAGAACCAGCAACAAAAGAGGGGAAGCAGTCTATATTTTATACTAACTCATATACATTTTTTCACACGATTTCATAACAAAAAACAATGACTTCACATACATTCCCACAAAGAATGCAAAGCAGCTCACAAATATTTCTTTCTCATATACGCATCCGTCTCATATATGCTATTCTGTCATATAGCCCAAGGCTGGACCGATCACTCCCCAACATTTTCCCATCGATACACTCATACTCCTTGCCCCTCCTGTTACTTGAGATTCTGCTCCATCCACTCTCATTTGTGGTGAGCACATAACCTTATTGTTAAAACCAATTCAATGCCTTTTAGGGAGACATTTTATATGGCTTGTTGTACCATAACACTGAGATGGAATGGGAATCACTCCTATTATATCATGCACTTAGGAAGGAACCAAATAGAATTTCCATATTGTGAGCCCACAGGACACACCTAACAGCCACTAAACAAGCATTATTTGCAACCTCAACCCTACATTCCCCATCATGTTCACTGGGCCTCAGTTTCAGTTCTCTCGCACAGCACACCAAAGCTACTATCCACATTTGTATTGGAGGACTACAATCTTGGGAGTTGCAACTAACCAATTTGTAAGGTTTGAACACCCAATACAGAATGTTTGCAAAATAAATCTCTACAGTAAATAACTCTGAACAAGTCTCCTCTTTGAACACATGCTTCCTCTTCACACTGGGCACAGTGTGTTATCATGGATCATTAAATAATGACAGAACTTCTAAATATATCCTCTTGTGTATTTCAAAACTAGTGTGAAAACTAGCACTTATGGAGCTAGGGTCCATAAGTGCTAGTTTTTATGAGGTATCTGAGGAAATCAAGGAAGTCTGAAAAGTCTCCTACTCTTGAAAGCCTCATAATGTGGTGTTTCCTCGGGTTCTTGTTGGATAACAAATCTTACAAACATCCAGCATTACGTTAATAAGATTAAGAGTACAAGATAGTTATTTCAAAAACATGTTGCTCAGGACGATCCCAAGACATCTTATGGATTGAATTAGAGCAGCAAATGTCAACAGTCAAACTAAGATCTTTCTCAACTGAACCCAACAATAAGTACTACACCACATCACTAGTTCCTAGTTCATCAGGATATTGGGAAGGCATAAAAGATAAACTGATTTGTAATGATGTAATGATGAGGTTTTATTGTACTGAGTTGTACTATTTTAATATGTAATGAGTTGTATTTGCTGTTTTATCTGATTGTATTTGATATGTACTGTAAACCGACCTGAGTCCCTCGTCGAGGTTGAGAAGGCCGGTATAGAAATCCTCTAAATAAATAATAAATAAATAAATTTGAAATGGGTAATAAAGACATGTTTGAAGGTATTTCACTGTTTTGCAACTGGGATTGCTTGACGGGGGCCTCACTGAGATGTGTCCCAATGCTAGTTTCTGTCCCACTAGACAGAAAGGCCTTAATGAACTAGAGCAGTGTTTCTCAACCTTTCTAATGCCACGACCCCTTAATACAGTTCCTCAGGTTGTGGTGAGCCCCAACCATAAAATTATTTTCATTGCTAAATCATAACTGTAATTTTGCTACTGTTATGAAGCGTGATGTAAATATCTGATATGCAGGATGTATTTTCATTCACTGGACCAAATTTGGCACAAATACCCAATATGCCTAAATTTGAATACTGGGGGGGGGGGTGGCGGGGGGGGATTGATTTTGCCATTTGGGAGTTGTAGTTGCTGGGATTTATAGTTCACCTAAAATCAAAGAGAATTCTGAACTCCGCCAACAATGGAATTGAACCAAACTTGGCACACAGGACTCCCATGACCAACAGAAAATACTGGAAGGGTTTGGTTTGCATTGCCCTTGAGTTTTGGAGTTGTAGTTCACCTACATCCAGAGAGCACTATGTACTCAAACAATGATGGATCCGGACCAAACGTGACACAAATCCTCAATATGCCCAAATGTGGCCACTAGTGGAGGTTGGTGAAAATAGACCTTGATATTTGGGAGTTGTAGTTGCTGGGATTTACAATCCACCTACAATCTAAGAGCATTCTGAACCCACCAACAATAGAACTGGGCCAAACTTTCCACACAGAACCCCTTGATCAACAGAAAATACTGTTTTTCTGATGGTCTTTGGTGACCCCTCTGACACTCCCCCCCTTGTAACCCCCTCCCAGGGGTCCCAACCCCCAGGCTGAAAAACACTGAACTAGAAGAATTAGAGGAAACCAGTAATTAATCACACACACACACACTGCAGGAACGGAAACTGTAAAACAAAATGTCTAGTAACACCTTAAAGGTTAAGATGTTCTATTTGGTATAAGGTTTTTGCGGATGTAGGTCTAGTTTACCCAATGTATGGGCTGGAATCCATAAACACTTATGTCAAACAAAACTTCTAAGGTCTTTATTACACTCTATGGCTACATTCCTAGACATGTTCAGAGCAGAAAATGCAGTTCAATGAAATAAGGGCCAATGCAAAGGCTATTCATAAGTAATTCCGACTACATTGGTCACCAGGAAAGTAATAAAACAGTCTGAAGCTACAAAAGGAAATGTCTTAATGAATGTTGCTGGAATCCTTCTTCTGAACAAGGCTTTTTTGCCAGTGAACATCATAGCAGGGTCTTGTTCATGAAGGAAGAGGAACTACCATAGGAATATTGTTTGAATTCTGCTTCCAATCTAATTGTGGGAAAGCAGTGCTAAAGGGTCTAAGTGCAGAAGCAAGCTGGAATATGAATCTACAGCATGGCTCCTGCATCTACTGCAGTGTTCATGGATGAGGCCATATCCAAAGAGTTCTCCAAAAGATGGATGTCTGAAAAACATTGGCAATACAATGTGTTGTGTCGACTTGGCCCAAAGCCTTCCTGAATGCAATTCCTCAGGGTATGTACCAACTGTGTATTCCTTTCCCCAAATCCACCTTTTGAGAGAGTACCCCCAACATTGCCTTCTTCCAAGTTTTGCATCAGGAAGTTTGAAATGAAAAATATAATCCCACCAGCCCCAGAAAAAGAAAGGGGTGGAGTGGGATCATTAGCCCTTGATTAGACTTTGGTGGGGAAGAAAAAAAAGGGGTTCGGTACTAAGGAAAGGAATGAGGCAGAGATGTGCACAAGATGGCTTTAGATTGCAACAGTATTATTATCTACACTCCCAGGGACTACTGGGAATAAAAACGCAGCATCCTGAACAACATCTTGGGCCTTCTACATGTAGATATGTACAATTATTAAGGACCCATCAGGCTAGAGGCTAAAATAAAAAGAGAGCATAATTGTGGCTTTTTCCAACTGGACAAACACCTCTATCCTCGGGATGTTACATAGGAACATGACTGAACACTAAAACAGGAAGGAGGAAAGATTGGAAGGAGAAAACAAAGTGCTACAAACTAAACAACAAAACAAAGAAATCTAATTGGGAACAAATCATATTTGAAATACTGTAGTCACAAGTGTCCACAACCCTAAGCATCTTATGCTTTTCAAATCTTGACAGCAACATTTCTGAATACCACTCCAAGTTTTGTACCCAAAACCTATTCACATAAATAAATTCAATATTTCAAATTGGGTTCCTTATTCATATAAATTGTTTCCTCCAGTCCTTCCCCATCTGAATAAACAAAGTACAAAAAAACAAGATGCAAAACAAAACACTTTCCGCTACCAAACATTCTCTGAAGAAGGTGGAGAAAATGAAGTGCAATCCACATTTATATATAAGTCTGTCCCACTGAATTCAGTGAGATTTATTCCCAGGTAAGTGTGAATAGGATTGCAATCTAAATAATAATTGTATTTGAACCACAGTTTAGTGTGTAAAGAATGAAGCTAGGCAAGCACTGGTTCTCATGTTTCCATTTCTCTCTCTCTTTTTTAAGTACAAGGAAGAGATGGATGAGATCCATGTCAGATTGGCCATGTTTTAGTCTGCTATTCAATCTGAGCTGTTTTTTTCCCTTCGTGTCAGGAGCGACTTGAGAAACTGCAAGTCGTTTCTGGTGTAAGAGAACTGACAGTCTGTAAGGACATTGTCCAGGGGATGCCCGGATGTTTTACCATCCTGTGGAAGGCTTCTCTCATGTCCCCACATGACAAGCTGGGACTGACAGACGGTAACTCACCCCACTCCCCGGATTTGAACCGCCGACCTTTCGGTCAGCAATCCTGCTGGCACAAGTCATTGCGCCATCGGGGGCTCCAACCTGAACTGTGATAAATCATAACTATTAAATTATTATTTGAAGTTGGCTTGTTTCTTCTAACCCTAGTATAGATAAACTGAGGTTTGTCTGGTTTGGATTATATGACTACAGTTAATCTAAAGTGAAAACTTCCAGACGTCTTTTCATAGCCAAATAACAGGAGGAACTGACTCAATGCTTGCCTGCTCTCAGTCTTGTACTACTGAACTATGGTTTAGCACAGAGTTCAGAAAGTTAGTGCCAATGCTAACATGCTAATATTAACCAGTTTCGTTAAATGTGTAATTAATTAGTTACATCAATTGTAACATATTACTTTTATCGTGAAAAAAATAGAATGACTAAAAATGGCCATTAAATTGCAACTCCTCAAAGGTAATAAACCAGCATCACGTATATTCATTACTAGCCCCATTAATACTATTGTCATTATAATGACTACAATCACAATTTCTAAAATCTTGTTCAAAAATTTTTTATGAACTAAAGAGAGTTTTAAATCAATTACTTTCAAGCTTGGCTTAATGTAACATTCAATCCAGCTCATAAGAATCTGGGGAGATGGGAATGAATGGCAGTTAAAAGTTTACCAACCAGAAACTGTTGTGGGTTTTTCTAGATATTATAAGTGAAAATATTCAGCATCTAAAAACTGCAATAGTTTAAACTGTTACTTAAAACAGATATTAGAATCTAGTTCTCAATATCTTATGGACCATGCAGATTAAATTTGAAAGTCAAAGTTAATAAGAGTACCAGCTGAAAATAGCACTGTACTCCAGACACACCTTTCAGATCACATTGCCCATATATATCCCAAAAAGTTAATTTACGATTGGGAAGGGAAGATAATATTTTAAAAAGTAAATGTTATTAAAATATTTTATATTATTTTGATATTTTTTTGTAAATAAATACCCTGACGAGTTGAATGTTTGCCATACTTTCTATGTCTCATCATTTTGTTAGAAAAGATTCAATACGGAGTAAACTTTTAAAGAGTCCTGAGCCTCACTGGGGAACTGGAGGGGGATTATGGGGAAGTTTGTTTGTTGTGACAGTGTTTGAAAGAGCTGAGACATTTTACAAACCACAATCACATGAACTGAAGAGGAGACACTGATGCATACCCCTAGTGATGGGAAAGTAAATGAAAAGCACTATAAAATTTGACAAGAGAGTGTTAGCAATATATAAAGATATGTACAGCAAAAGGGGATGAACCTGATCCTGCCCTAGATCTTTTTATGGGCAGAGACACATTAGAGTTATAAAACAAGGGTGGGATGAATGTGGCAAAGGGCAGTGTATTGTGTGATAACCCATTTCCTGCACCTTTGGCACTGACCAAACTTGATACTAGATGCAACAAGACAGGATGGCCACCATTCTCCACTTTTCCTGTTCTGAAGGACATGGAACGAAGAAGTGAGGAAGGGGCTTTCATCTGTCCACTTGGCCACAGAGTGAGCAAAGTGTATCATCACATCACCAGGATAACATCCTGCTCTCACTGTGTGCATTATCAGGGTCAGGAACCCCTTACATCGTACAAAGGTCAGATTTGAACCAGGTTCAAGATGGTGACCCATACTGTAAAACAGATGAAGCCTCAGAGAGATGATTTCATCCAAGGTAGAGGACCTCAGAGTGATGTCAACATGCTGGATGAGGCCCACAGTGATGAAGTCACCAAATGTCAGCATCACTGCCAAGCCTGGCTACTTTAATATGTGTAGCTTCTGGCTGAGTCCATTGTGCTAAAATCATCAATTGGTGACAGGCACAGGAACTGTGACATCATTCTTAATTATCAAGATTGGCAGTACTTTCATCAAATGTTGGCAAGGCCTCTTCAAATATCAACATGATTGATTTGCCCCAACATTCTATAATACTAACAATACCTACACACAACTGACTTTACCAGTCCATGTGATGCACTGTAAGGTTATATCACATATACTGACAAACCTTTTTCTCCATTGACATCATCTGTAACTGACAAATGACACAACGTTGATGTCATCAAAGGTCCACAGTGCTGAAACCATCAAATGTTGATGGTGAAGACATCAGAGGTCAACAAGACCCACAGCGCGTGTATCATCTGCAGCTGAGTCCACAGTGTTGACACCTCTGCTGGTGTCGATGGTATCAGGTGGTTGATGGAGCATCCATAAGGGTTGGCAAAGCTCATGGTGCTTAAGACGCAGAAGATGCCAACCACATGATAAATCCACAGGTGTTGTCTCCAGTCTTCAAAAGTCTGAGACAAGGCTCACATCAACGATGCCATCAAATGTTGATGAGCGAGACTAGTATTATTTTTATCAAAGATAGGTGGGACCTGGCAATTGTAACATCCAGAACTATTACCAAGACTACATTACTGATGTCATGAAAGTCCGCACACCCAGTCAATGACGATCAATTCAGCCTTGGGATCATCAGATCTGGACAGCAGTGATATCAGCAGACATAGGAATGGATGGCAGCAACCTCAAGCCCATGAGATCGATTCATTTTGACATTTCAGAAGCTGAACAAGACAGCACAGTCAATGCCCTCTGAGAAACCAAGCAGGCCTTGACATTGCCGTGCCTTGACATAGCACTGATATCACCAAATCCCTACAGCCATCATCATCATCATCGATTGTCAAGACCTGGCAGGTCAGATGGACATCATCAAAAGCCAGTGAAGGCCATGATGGCACCATTAGCAAATACCAGGCTAGGACTTGACATCAACCAAGCTGATGGCCTTAGGACTAAAAAAAATAAATGGAGGGTACCCCTAATAAAAATGGTGAGCACCAAAGAACGAGTGTGGGGCGCAGAAAAGAGTGAGAAATATGGCCTTGGAAAGTGAAATCAACCTGAGTTGGGAAATAGGGATATCTCACACGGTGACTTCATTCTTACTGCCAGTAGGGAGGTGGGTTGGGTGATGCCCAGGGATGAACTGGACTTGATCAATGGTGCTTTGCCTCTTGGCTGCAAAGCCTTGACGCCGGGCAGCAGCCTGGCTAGTAGTACCACTACTAACTTCCCAAGGAGCAGTTGTCTTGGGAGAATTATTGGAGGTGGCATGTGAGTTCTTAATTACCATGTGATGGTGGTCAAGCATGGGGGTACTGCTGGCACACACGTTGGTTTGAGAGAGAGCCTTCTGGTGGCCTAAATGCATCTCTTGGAAGGGCCCCGTGCGCTGATGGAGACGTTCAGGTGATAGCAAGCGCTCCTGCGAATGCAAGTTTTCACGGGAGAGGAGGCGCTCATGAGATATGACACGCTCTCGTGGAATGGTGTAGTCATAGTGGGAGGGACGATAGGTTCCCCCTCCGCCGCCACCATCTGAAAGGATGTGTTCCTGTGACATGACACGTCGTGGATTGTGTGACTTCTCGGAGTAGTCATCCCTGTCGTAGTTCATCTTCATTGCATGTAACGGCAGGGTCCCGCGGGTCAGTTCAGCAAGATGCCGTCGCTTGGCATAGAATTCATCCAAGTCCTTCTCAGCTGCTGGGAGACAGAGGAAATGTGTACAGCATCATTGCATGATGGACTAATAATTATCAGAAAAAGAAGACAAAAATACAAAATGTATGGGCGTGGAAAGATGAATGTGTATGGAATGGAATTCCCATGACTCATTCACATATCTTCATATGGTATTGCCTTCATCATCGTCAACTATTTTTTAAAATCTTTTTCATACAACGGGAAATTCAACTGTTTTGACAAAAAATGTACAGATAACTATACTATATTTTATAGGGAGTGGGTGCTTTCGGTGGGTGCTGTCCAATAACGCAATTTATTTATTTTTGATCAATATTTCACATGTATATTGGGCATTGAATTTTGCTATACTTATGTTTGAAAATGCTTTGAGTCCCCCTAGGGGTGAGAAAGGTGGTATATTTAATTACATTATATAAATAAATGAATAAATATTTTTATTTGATCTTGAACTCTTTCCCAGATATTTTTTTCAGTTGAAGGAGGGGTACAGCACTAACACCAGATTACATAATGTTATGCTTTTTAAGGATTTTTAAAATACCCATTCTATTCTTTAACCATGTTGCTAAATGGTAATGACTGCAAAGGTTTTCTTAAATAATCCTTTTCAAATATTCAAAATTTGGCGAACGTTGAGCATTAAATTGGTTTTATTGATTGTGATGCATAATTGATTGTTTTAATTGTTTTATAATTGCTGTTTATATATGTTTTATCCTATTGTTTGTGTTGGCATCGAATTGTGCCTTTTGTAAGCCACCCTGAGTCCCCCTTCGGGGGTTGAGAAGGGCGGGGTAGAAATGTGCGAAATAAATAATAAATAAATAATTGAAACTTCATAGCACCCAGTATTACATCGATCTTTCATTTTTTTTTTTAAAAAAAGGAGGGAAAGCATTTTAATGCACAAAAGACAGAATAATCATAAAATAGTGCCCACTATAACAGGTTTAGCATATCTTGGAACAATTATCTTTGAACTACAACACCCAGAATCCTTCATTTATATATTTATTTAAATTTAAATGAAACTTTATGGAATAAGCGGTGGGATAACATTGTGTACCTTCAAGTAGTTCTGAACATATGGTAACCCCAACACAAATTTATTGTAGAGTTTCCTTAGTAACATATGTTCAGAAGGGGGTTAGGTAAAAGTAAAGGTTTCCCTTTGACATTAAGTCTAGTTGTGTCTGACTCTGGGAGGTGGTGCTCATCTCCATTTCTAAGCCAAAGAGCCAGCAATGTCCGTAGACACCTCCAAGGTCATGTGGCCGACATGAATAAAGGAACACTGTTACCTTCCCGTTGATCTAGTCACATTTGCATGTTTTCAAACTGCTAGGTTGACAGAAGTTGACTAACAGCGGGAGCTCACCCTGCTCCCAGGATTCGAATCGCCAACCTTTCGGTCAGCAAGTTCAGCAGCTCAGCGATTTAACCCACTGTACCACCATGGGGACCTTCAGAAGGGGGCACCATTTCCTTAATCTAAGGTTAAGAGAGTGTGACTTGCCCAAGCATTACCCAGTGGGCTTCCATGGCTGAGTTGGGAATCAAACTTTGTGCCCCAAAGGGTCTGGCACTCAAAACACTATACTATAGTTGCTCTCTAGAAAACACAGAAGGATAATAAATGGAGGATACCAACTGGATCCCTTCTAAAATCCTGAAAACAAGGCAGATTGATTGTGTTTTGACCCTGAACCTTGTAGTGTTCAGGGTCAAAACACAGGCAGATACAAACATATAAAATCAAGGAAAGTGAGATACTGAAATACCTTTCACGGAATCCAAGACAGGGAGCTGCCAGACCCAGGGCCCTTTCACACAACCCAGAATATCAAGGCAGAATAACCCACAATATCTGCTTTGGATTGGGTTATCTGAGTCCACACTATTATATATCCCAGTTCAAAACAGATAATGTGGGATTTTAATTAGCGGTATGAAAGGAACCCCAGTTAATAATATTGGGAGAAAAAGATTCTAGAAACAAATGTCCCGGTGCTTCATTCTAAATTATGTATCTTACCCAAGCGTTTGAGAGAGGAATAGCGGTTGAGCTCTGACTTGACAGCCGTCTCGTAGGATGGGGGCAGATGGGAGAGGTTGTGGAAGGAGCGAGAGCAGCTGAGGGTGTTGTACTTGGTGCTGGAGTGGCTGGGCGTGTGGTTCATGTGCCAGTCTTTGAAGAAAGGAAGGAAAGGCAAAAAGGAAAGAAACCCCATTAGTTCAACTCAGACTGGCTTCCAGTGCCTTAGGTATTGTAATTGGGATCAGTTACTGGGTTTGTGAGTTTTCTAGGATGTATGGCCATGCTGCAGAAGCATTCTCTCCTGATGTTTTGCCTGCATCTATGGCAGGCATCCTCAGATGTTGTGAGGTCTGTTGGAAACTAGGAAAATGGGATTTATATATCTTTGGGATGTCCGGGGTGGGAGAAAGAACTCTTGTTTGCTCGAGGTAGGTGTGAATGTTTCAATTGGCCACCTTGATTAGCATTTAATGGCCCAGCAGTTTCTGGCTTCTTACTGCTTGGGGGAATGGTTTGTTAGGAGGTGATTAGCTGGCCCTGATTGTTTCTTGTCTGGAATTCCCGATTTTGAGTGTTGTTCTTTATTTACTGCCCCTAGGCAGTAAGAAGTCAGAAACTGCTGGGTCATTAAATTCTAATCAAGGTAGCCAACTGAAATATTCACACCCAGCTCCAACAGACAAGAGTTCTTTCTCCCACCCTGGACTTTCCTCCCCATTTTCCTAGTTTCCCCATTTTCCCCATATAAACCCCATTTTCCTAGTTTCCAACAGACCTCACAACCTCTGAGGACACCTGCCACTGATGCAGGCGAAACATCAGGAGAGAATGCTTCTGGAACATGCCCTTACAGCCCGGAAAACTCACAACAACCCAGTGATTCCAGCCATGAAAGCTTTCAGTAACACATTGGGAGTAGTTACTTCCACGCTTGCCATTAAAGCAGATCATACTCCCTCTGCTTTTACAGATAGGTCGGCCAGTTGACACATTTCCAAAAAAGAAGAAGAAGAAAATGCATCACCTTAAAAAAAAGGGTGATTGATTTGCACAAAGCTCGCTCTGCTAAATGCAGATTTAGAAATGATTGCTATCATTTAAACAGAAGCATAACCTCACTCCGGTATTGTCTGTGCTCAGGTAACCTGTTTACCTGGTCAGGCTGTACTCTTATATTAACTGTTGCTGGGAAACATCCAAGCTCGTCACTACCTTATGATTTTTTTTTCAAAAAACCACTTCTCAGATCAAGGACACCTTCATGAACAGACTATTCTAGGTACACAGGATTACTCTATTTATTAAGTACACAGAGATGATTTAGTAAATAGTTCTCCATATCATCACATTTTCTGGGTTGTTCTCCTATGTTTTGTTTTGGTTTTTTTTTTCCAGTTTCTGGTTTGCAATAAACATCCCTCCTCCAACCCCAGGATATAACTATAGCTCTAGTTGGTCCAGTGTGGATTAAAGAAATGCAACTGATGCTTACTGGGATCCGTTCTGGCAGTAGCCCCCAGCATCACTGAGTGGCTGGTGTGGCCTGACTGTCCCAGCAGGGCCTACAGGTATTGCCATTTGGGCTTCCTGCCCAAATCCCATGGCTGTGAGATTAGAAAGACAGTGCCTGGAGAGCTGCCCGCCGTTTAAATTCCCACAGTTGCCCCAGAGCCTGCAATGAGATGTCACTCTGAGGCACAGCAGGATGATTATAACAGCGGGTGGCTTTCTAGACTCTATTGCTGCCAGCAGGTGAGCCCACAACCAAAGGGGGAAGGCATGCACACCTCAGTTAACAAAGCTCCGCTTCATAAAGGCTTTTTACACCCACTACACTAAGCTAAAGAAAAAGACAAAGTGAGACAGATAGGCCTTGTATTATTGAAGGTTTTCATGGCCAGAATCACTGGGCTGTTGTAGGTTTTTCGGGCTGTATGGCCATGTTCCAGAAGCATTCTCTCCTAACGTTTCACCTGCCTCTATGGCAGGCATCTTCAGAGGTTGTGAGGTCTGATGGAAACTAAGGAAACTGGGTTTATATATCTGTGGAAAGTCCAGGGTGAGAGAAAGAACTCTTGTCTTTTGGAGCTGGGTGTGAATGTTTCAATTGGCCACCTTGATTAGCATTTGATGGCCTGACAGTCTTTTAGGTGTGTCTTGTTCCTGCCTGGGGAAATTCTTTGTTGAGAGGTGATCAGCTGTTCCTGTTGTTTCTTCTCTGGAGTTCCCCTGTGTTTGAGTTTTGTTTTTTATTTACTAATCAAGGTGGCCAATTGAAACATTCACACCTACCTCAAACAGACAAGAGTTCTTTCTCTCACCCTGGACCAGGGATCCTCAAACTAAGGCCCGGGGGCCAGATATGGCCCTCCAAGGTCATTTACCCGGCCCTTACTGAAGGTCAACCTAAGTGTGAAATGACTTGAAAGCACACAACAACAACAACAACAACAACAACAACAACAACATCAATAACATCCTGTCTCATCAGCCCAAAGCAGGCCCACACTTCCCATTGAAATACTAATAAGTTTATATTTGTTAAAATTATCATTCATTTTAATTATTGTATTGTTTTTAAGTGTATTTTGCACTACAAATAAGATATGTGCTGTGTGCATAGGAATTCATTCCTATTTTTTTACAAATTATAATTCAGCCCTCCAACAGTTTGAGGGACTGTGACCTGGACCTCTGTTTAAAATGTTTGAGGACCCGTGCCCTGGACTTTCCACAGATATATAAACCCAATTTCCCTAGTTTCCAACAGACCTCACAACCTCTGAGGATTCCTGCCATAGATGCAGGTGAAACATCAGGAGAGAATGCTTCTGGAACATGGCCACACAACCCGGAAAACTCACAACCATCCAGTGATTCCGGCCACGAAAGCTTTCAATAATACATTGGGGGCAGTTACTTCCACACTTGCCATTCAATCAGTTCATGTTTCTTCTGTTTTAACAGATAGGTTGGCCAGTTGACACATTTGCAAAAGAAGAAGAAAAAGCATCACCTAAAAAGGAGGTGATTGATTTGCACAAACCTACAACAACCCAGGTAGGCCTTCCTCATGAGCTCCTGTCACTATGCTTTAAAAGCAGAGATCAATAGTTTTGGCTACGTAATGGGAATCGTAGGACACGTGGAATCTGGTGAAAGAAAGAAAAAACCTCCTTCAATTCATTTTGCAACCAGCCTTCAGGCGATCTCTGAAGGTTCAAAATGTTTTTGGTGACTTATCCAAGGTTTACCTTACCTGGTTGTTTCATTTCACATGTGCATATTGTCAGTTTTGAAATAAAAGGTTTGTCAGAAATATTAAATATTAACTGGGTATTTTCGATTACAAAAGTGTGAGTCAATCACTGAAAGAGTTAGTAGGCTGAAGCCTGTTAGAGTTAGTGGGCCAAAGCTAGCGTCGCCCTCAGGAGAGTGAGTAGACCGAAGCAGTTAGTGTTAGTTGGCCTCAATGAGGGAACGTCTTAGTCTGTGTGAGGTGGCTTGTCAGTGTGAGGTAAACTTCTGTGTAGGAGAAGCCTTGTGAGGGAGCTCCAGTATAAAGACTGCTGTGTGTAAAGCTACTACATATTTGTCTATTTGTGTTGTGAAAACCTTGTTATTGTAAATAGTGCAACTATATTATTTTTACCACAAAGAAAAGCCTCCTATGGAAGATATAACATTAGTCTGTGTGTTTTTGTTCTTTTTGTCACTTTGGCGACTGGTGCTGGGTCACGTTGCTGCCGATGAGCTACTCTGCTATATGTTTATGGGGAGGATCTTTTGTTACTGAGCCCACTTGCCCAATAAAGTTTGCTGAATCAGGTTGAACTCTCTTTCTTTGTATTCTAGGAACCTACCTTTATTCTTCCCATGTTATTTCTGCCACTGCTGCCAACATTTTTTAAAAGGGAAGTAATGATGAGGAAGACACTTATTTGATTAATTGAGGTGTACCTGGAATACCTCAAGGCAGCCAAGACACCCACCCTCTTCCAAATGGCACTAGTTATGCTATTATCTTCTTAAACATGAAGGTAAAAGTGTTAATTGACTGTTTGCAAATGGTACAACTGCATCATCATAAGCAACCTCATCTACTCACTCATGCCCTCTCTGTAGTATGAGGAACAGCATTCTGTCTTGATTATTATATTCTAATTGTGCGCCAACTGCGCCCGTACCTTGGGAAGTCTGACTTGGCCACGGTAGTCCACGCTCTGGTTACATCCCTTTAGACTACTGCAACGCTCTCTACGTGGGGTTGCCTTTGAAGACGGCTCGGAAGCTCCAACTAGTCCAATGCTCGGCAGCCATGATACTAACAGGAGCGGAGCGCAGGGAGCATACAACTCCTCTGCTGCACCAGCTCCACTGGCTGCCGATTTGCTACCGGGCTCAATTCAAAGTGCTGGCGTTGGCCTTTAAAGCCCTAAACGGTTCTGGCCCAAGCTACCTATCCGAACGTATCTCTGCCTATCAGCCCGCCAGGACCCTAAGATCTTCTGGGGAGGCCCTGCTCTCTATCCCGCCTGCTTCACAGGTGCGGCTGGTGGGGACGAGAGACAGGGCCTTTTCTGTGGTGGCCCCTCGGCTGTGGAACGCCCTTCCCATGGAGGTAAGATCAGCCCCCTCGCTAATGGTGTTCCGAAGGAGATTAAAAACTTGGATGTTTGAACAGGCATTTGGTTAATCAGTGCAATGAATGTGACGATTACAGGAATGGAAATATGGACGACGAATTTGGATCACGACTCTAGTTATGAGATGCATTGTGTTGTTATTGTTGTGTCAATATTGTATATTGTGCTCTAATGGTTTTAAATTGTATATCGTTGATTGATCTTATCCTTGTTGTAAACCGCGTTGAGTCGCCTGTTAGGCTGAGAAATTGCGGTATACAAGTAAAGTAAATAAATAAATAAATAAATAAAATAACCCATAAAATGTGAAATAAGAACCCCCTCCCAACCATGTTGGTGCATGCAAGGAATCAGTGAGTGTGTATATGTTAACTGCAAAATAAGATGCATGAACCTGATTTGTTGAGCAATGCCCAGGGAGCAGTTACATTTTTGTTCAGGCTTGAGCTATGTAGGTGTATTGAGAGAGAGAAGATGAGTGAAGCAGAGAGAGACAGATTTTGGAGTGTACTCTTTCTTCATGAGTTGCTGAAGGAGTTTATCCAAATGGGCAAGGAAAGACCATTTTAAATCTCTCATAAAAGGGTCTTGTGTGATTTGATGCAACTGATCACATTGTACATATAGTTATTCTGAATTAAGTAAAGTAAACTACTTGTTCTTTTCAGTTCACCTGCGTGGCATATTTTCTTTCTCTGGCAAGGGAGTATGTGAGCTGATCAAACGTGAACTACACGTGGTTTATTTTACATTATGCCACGAACCATGCCTTCAGGCCACATCTATGCCTCTCTGGGTGTTAAAACTGCACTGCCACACTTTCTCTGCCACAGTTCAATGCTATGGAATCCTTGGAGCTGTAATTTTATAATGTACTAGCTGTCCCATGCGTTGCTGTGGCCCATATGGGGGTTCTGTGGGGTGGGGGGTTGGCCCAATTCTATCGTTGGTGGGGTTCGGAATGCTCTGTGATTGTAGGTGAACTATAAATCCCAGCAACTACAACTCCCAAATGTCAAGACTCTATTTTCCCCAAACTCCACCAGTGTTCACATTTGGGCAGACTAAGTATTCATATAGAGTTTGGTCCAGATCCATCATTGTTTGAGTCCACAGTGATCTCTGGATGTAGGTGAACTACAACTCCAAAACCAAAGGACACTGCCCACCAAACCCTTCCAGTATTTTCTGTTGGTCATGGGAGAACTGTGTACCAAGTTTGGTTCAATTCTATTGTCGGTGGGGTTCAGAATGGTCTTTGATTGTAGGTGAACTATAAATCCCAGCAACCACAACTCCCAAATGACAAAATCAATTTTTTTGAGTGAAGGACATACATTAAGTTATTAGGTGTCTTGTGTCCAAATTTGGTGTCAATTCGTCCAGTGATTTTTGAGTTCTGTTAATCCCACAAACATTACATTTTTATTTATATAGATTTAGCCTTCTCTATCAGAGGAGGCTGATGCCTCACCAAATTACAACTCCAACTCCAAGGATTTCATAGCATTGAGACATGGCAGTGAAAGCGGTGTCAAACTGCATCAATTCTACAGTGCAAGTGCACCCTTAGATTGTAGCACAAAGAGTTTTCTTGGAACTGGTAGTGAGGAGTTTAGAGCTGCTATAAGATTTGCTTTTGATTCCCACTCTCTTCCCTCTCTATCTCCGCTCTGATCTCCTTGCATTTTTGTTTGCCAGCAAGCAAGAAGCCAACAAAAGGGTGCAATTAGAGCCCCCACACATTAAGAACACAGAAGCAATAATGGCACAGGGATGAGGCAGAGAAGGGGGAAAAACAGAAGTTATTTTCCTGGAGTGGAACAATATCCCTGGCTCTTAGATCCAAAACAGACATAATATTATTCATGCAATTAGTAATTTTGTGATTAAGAAGTGGTTCAAGTAATTGTGGTGCCCCCAGTCTAGATCATCAGCGTTACAGGGAAAACAGCTAATGCCTCCCTTAACATGAACCTGGAGACACACTCCCAAGGTTGCGATTCATATTAAAACACATTAAAGTTATTACTAACTGCATGAATAACATCACAAATGTTTTCACTCTGACTTTATTGCTCTATGCTGGAAGACTTCACCCAACTGTGAACAAATAAAGAAATCATATGATCCAGGGAAAAGATGCATAGGAAGAAGGCCGTAAGGGAAGAGCAAAAGAAATTTGTCTCTTCGCATTGCATTTCATGTGTGTTTGGAATGCTATGGGATCTGGAGGTTTTCAAAGTAAGGGGACAGTGAAGCCATTCCAGGGTTTAGTCTAAATCAGCAGTTCTTAACCATTTCTGTATCATCTCCTTTAAATACTATTTGTTGCCATGGGCTACTGAGACATAACTCAATATTTTAAAAACTCACAGTTTATTAAATATATATTTAAAGTTGGTCATCAAGAGTCCCCAAATTCAAAGAGAGCAGTGAAATATGTAAATGAACACAGTACTATTATAATATTTTTATTGGAATATTTCGTATCCATTTAAAATAATTAACTCACAATATTTTTAAAGCCTTTGTGGATCCCTTGTGTGAACATAACATCCCACCCCCTCCCCCATGGTGTTTGCGGATCACAGAACTACTAATATAAACCTTAAAGGAGCTATCCAAACTGAGCATATGGTTCAGCACCTTGGATAACTCCCTTATAGTCTAGGCCAATGGTTCTCAAACTCTGCTCCTCCAGGTGTTTTGGACTTCTGCTCCCAGAAATCCCAACCAGTTTACCAGCTGTTAGGAATTGTGGGAGCTGAAGTCCAAAACACCTGAATGAGCAGAGTTTGGAAAACACTGGTCTAGGCCATTGCTTCTTACACTGTGGGTTCTGATCCCAACTGGGCTCCCTTTAGCTTAATGTTGCTAACAGTAAAAAAAATTCTGAACATCCACCTAGTGACTTAGACATTTACGCGAATCTATTGGGCAGTGTTTACAGTAGACTCTGCAGAAAATGCTTCAGCTGCACTTCTTTAAAAAAGAAAATCAGCCTATTTAGCAAGTGTTGCTGTGAGTTTTCCAGGCGGTATGGTTATGTTCTAGAAGCATTTTCTCCTGACTTTTCACCTATATGGCATGCATCCTCAGAGGTTGTGAGGTTTGTTGGAAACTAGGCAAGTGAGATTTATATATCTGCAGAATGTCCAGGGTGGGAGAAAGAACTCGTGTCTGCTTGAGGCAAGTGTGAATGTTGCAATTGATCACCTTGATTAGCACTGAATAGCTTTACAGCTTCAATGCTAATCAAGGTGATCAGTTGCAACATAAAAGCCTTTGACAACACTATTTAGCAAGCCTTGCAAATTGTGGTTTGTTATCAGCTAATGTTTGAGTTTTATGCCTATTTTATTTATCTATTTAGCCAGGGTCATGTAAACATTTCTCGAGCCGAAAGGGGTCCCAATTGAAAAAGTTTAAGAAACTGTGGTCTGGCTTGAAAACCGTGGTGGATAGAATGAAGAATCCAATTCAGAAGAAATTTCTTAGATCTGATGGATGATGCCATCCATCTTAGGCAATCTAGGAATAAGTCATACTGAACATAGCAGGATTTCCTTCAGAATAAATACGTATAAAATTTACGAGTGGGGAAATGATGACAGAGAGCACATGTTCCTCATGCGTGGAAGTCACATGTTCGATCTCTGTCATCTCCACCTAAAGCTAGAAAGGACACTTCCTAGTTATACTTTTGCTGTATTGCTCTATTAATGCTTTTCTTCATTCAGTTACTTAGAAGTACATTGAAACCAAGAGTATTCACTTAAACACAGATCAAAACAACAAACAGTAAAAAACAGACACAAATAACAGAGGATCGATTAAAGCAGACTTTGTTAAAATCAAAGCAAAGACAGCCTGGATGTCATCTTCATGGAAACCCTGGCTAAGATGCCAGATAGTCCCATGCTACTTCCCTGCACCTTTTTTGGCTCCTTGCTCCATGCACTACCAGGGATGGCCCTGGTCCTGGCACTTACCCAGAGTGGCCGTGTGGTGCTTAGGGCTGTTGACATTCAAATGGATGTAATTGTGATGCATGTTATCTGCAAGGCAAAAGAGAAGAGAAGTACTCGTGTGGGGCAGGGTGCTAACTTTTATCCACTTGTGAAATGGAGATCTGCTTGAAGTGGCCACGAGGGGTCACCCGTTTCAGATCTTACAAATGTCATCTCCAGGATGCATGTAACTAAATGCCTGGCTGCCTGCTTCATAGCCCCAGAGGAGGATGGTGTGAATTCGGTGTCCCTCCTTTTTGCCAGGCCAGGGACTGTGTGTGCTGATGAATACATTGCTAGGAGGGACAGACTCTCTGATTCATCTGGTATTTAATGGCCTCTTAAGGGCTGACAATGCAATTCACTCTATCTGAAGCTCAGTACCTTGTGTCTTACACCTTGAAAAATTAGTCCCTTCTTATAAAAAGCTAAGAGGGTTTCACTTATAACATCACACCCCAATGAGGGTCCTGAAATAATACTTTGAAGCAAAGGTAGATGTTGGGATTTTTGCAGGTTTTGCTTGGTTTTGTAGGTTTTGCTTGAACACTAAATTTCCGGTTATAGGTCCTGCTCTCTGAAAATTGTAGCCACTGACCAATTGGCCATGGAAAAGAAAACAAGCCTGGGCCATTCTTCAGCCTTTAACATGGGGGTTCTCAACCTGTGGGTCCCCAGATGTTTTGGCCTTCAACTCCTAGAAATCCTAACAGGTAGTAAACTGGCTGGGATTTCTGGGAGTTGTGGGCCAAAACACCTGGGGACCCACAGGTTGAGAACCACTGCTTTAACAGCTTAGTCCAGAGAGATAAAGCTTTTCGAGGCAAGAAGATAAAACTGCCAAATAACGTCTTCATATCAATGAAAAACGGATGAGTTGAGAAACAGATAAGCCCTTGTGGTCCAGAGGTTTAATCTCTCCTATTCTCTCTCTCTCTCCTCCCTCCGCCTTTAGCATTTCTTGAAACAGCTTAGACAGACGGAAAGACAGAGACACAAAGAACATTCCCATTGACAGAGAGCAATTAAGTTTCTGAGTCTTGTGAGTTACATGAGAACACTTGGCTGTTATTGAAGACTCCATTCATTTTAAAGAATATTTGGATTCTGGTGACACCTCTCTCTTACTGATCAGTGCTCCTCATTTGGGTTATGGTCTTGTTGGCATCCATTGCCAAAGACTGAGACTTGAACGAGTGATTAAAACCAAGCTTAGTCCCCTGGTATTTCTGTCAGGGAAGATTTTTGTTGTTGTTGCTGGAGTAGAGGAAGCTGCATAACCGAGTTGCCTTTTTCGGTTCCATCTGGAAAGGAAACAGTTCATGCCTGAATAAGGACCTCCTTCCCCTCACCCCACAACCCTAATATTAATGTTCACATCGACACAAAGACAGCCAGACAGCTTGAATCGGTTGTCATGGCAAGCAGGCTGTTTCCCCACAAGCTTTTGCAGCTTAATTCCTACTGCTTATACATATATAATTTAAAAGATGAAGTCTTGAAAGAACAGGAGTGCATACAAGATAGCTTATACGAGAATATTGCTGTGATGGGGGAAGGAGCTGCAAGTTGGAAGGAAACGAGGAAATCTGCATGAAAAGCATTATCCAGGCCATGTAATGGCTGGCTCAGATTACTGTCAGGAAAAGGGTGGTGGGCCCTTCATCTCTTTTAAGCTGTGCCACCCCAGTTTTTCTAGTTTAGATGAACATCTTATGGTTGGTTTTACTGTATCAGTATGACACTCTTTATTTCAAGAAGAGTTTGTTAGAGCATGTAAGAAATCAGTTAATGTGTGTGTCAACTGTAAAATAAGATGCATAAAGCTTATTAAGATGCATGAAGCTTGGTCAGGCAATGCTCGCGGAGATGGTGGAGCCTGGGACTTTTGGATACTGTTACATTTTTGTTCAAGCTTGAGCTATGTAGGTGCAGAGAAACAGTTTAGAAAAGAGAAGCAGAGAGAGAGAGACAGTGTTTGGAATGTACTCTTGCTTCATGAGCTGCTGAAGGAGTTTATCTACATGGACAAAGAAATATGATTTTAAATCTCTCATAAAAGGGCATTATGTGAGTTGATGCAACTGATCACATTGTACATTTGTTGTTAAGAACTACGAAGAGGAAACAACTTGTTCTTTATTGTTTATCTGCATGGCATATCTTCTTTCTTTGGCAAGGCAGTGTGTAGGTTGATCAAACGTGAATTACACATGATTTATTCCACATTATACCACAGAGCTGATTGGGATGGCTAAGGTGATCCCTCACTCAAATCTTAACATCAAACCATGGTTTGTGCTAATCAGCATTTGCATTCTATAGCACAGCCTGCACTCCACATGTGCTTCAACTTTCATCTTTGTTCTTAACAGATGCATCCCAAGCAACAGCTTTTAAAAATAGCTCAAATCATAGAGCCTGGTTCAGATGATGAAACAAATGAGCAATTGCCCAAAATATGATTTTTAAGACTTGTGGATTAAGGTCATGCTTTGGTGTCCTGCTATGATTTGTAGAATAGTGATGGTTCAGACATCATGACAAAACCATGGCATGAATTCCAACACATGTCACTGATGCGTTAACCAGGCCCATTCCTATTAACCTTTAGCAACAGAGTCCCCTTATTCAAGTGGCAGAGCTAGGTGTTGCCCTATCAACTAAACAATACAGCCAAATGTTAAGAAATACAGGAGAAGACTGTACCAGTCTGAAACTGTCCTCATTTCTTAGTTGTTAAGAGAAATTGGGTGTATGTAATAGATCTTTGATGGGCTTGGGAGGATCAGTTCATCTTAAAGGATTGGGTCTATTAGAGAAGCTCATCCTTATCTCTGTGGGCATGGTGTACAGAGGAGCTATCTGTCTCATTTTGTATCCTTGTCTTGATTTAGATTTGAGATCTAAGGGAAATCTCATGTAGCTATAGATAGGTATTTATATTTTACCACGAAGCTTGTTGTAAACCTTCTATCTTGTATTTTAGGCTAGTTAAAATTGTGCCATATCACAGAAAGTGAGCCATGTGTAAGCCTGGTTATTCCCAAGCTTTTTTCCTGTGCTTTAGCCTGGGCCTAAGCTGTCTTTTCAAGGCTGGGAATCCATGCAATCTGGGCTGGTGAAGGAACAAGGGTGTTGCTACGGCAGGGGGTATGGTGCAAAGCATAGTTTCCACACAATGTGTGGAAGCCAGTGGGAAAAAAGTAAGTGTAACAGAACAGTAGAGTTGGTTGGCTCCCTGGAATTCTCCACCCTTCAGATTGCCACACTATTCTTTTAAATATGGCTGTTGGATCCTTCCTTCAGCCTGGAGGTCATCAGCAAAGGATTGGAGTTGACGCGCACATAACAAAAGCTAAAATGTTCACCCTCCATTACTGTCTTCAGCAAAGGCACCCCATCGAGGCCTCACTCACTTCAGTACAAGATTTTTGTTTTACTGCACAATCTTTTGTTCTACTGAACAACCATCTTGAAGCAGAGGAAATTATGCCAGATCAAGCACAGGAAATGTTGACAGCGTGTATGACACACGCCATAATCATATAGACTCCTGTTGGTTAGTTCTAATTAGACTGGGCTCATTGAATCAATTGTTGGATGGTGAGTCAACATGTAGATAGATCTCCAGAAATGACCTTGTCCCTGATTAAAGCCTACATTGCCAACTGCGCAGTATCCTATTCCCTACTCCACATTTTATGTTCCTACCACACTAGATGGGCCCAGCTGCATAACAGAATAATACTTGCTTTAGCACATTCCCCACGCCTACTGCAGAGTCCAATACACCACTTAGGTTACCCACAGACCTGGAAAAGGCATATGTTGTAGACTGTTGTGCCCTTGAGCAATTAGGAATCAAGAGAAGATTAACAGTTGAATAGCAGCTTTATCTCCAGGCACTGCCGTTAAACATATTGTTATGGTTGCTGCCCTCAGAAGTGAGGAATCACAAGCCTCTTCTGCCTTTGTGGCAGCCCCCGCCCCTCCTGGGTGCCTCTTACCATGGCTGGTTTTGGAAGGTTTCACTGTGTTGTACATGTTCTTCGGAGGACGAGCCGAACCATTGTCTTGGAAGTTAGAGTTAATTACAAGGCTGTTGTTGCGTTCAGAACATGAAGTGGTGCCTGCTTGATGCCTCAGAATGTCAACCAGAGCCCTATCCATGAAAGGAAACCAACAGTCAGAAAAATGGCGGTCGGAGTTTTGCATACAGTAGTTAGGCAGGGTAGATTGAGGTGTAATTTATTTAACTACAGAAATCTCTCTTCTAGGGAGTGGTGTAGCGTACTAGTGCAAGGTTAATATGTATGTTTGGCAGAACACTCTAGTGTCTGAGCCTTGGTGAAGGGACACAGAAAAATGTAGGCAAAAGGAAACAAGGTTATAGGACAGGCATGGGCAAACTTCGGCCCTCCAGGTGTTATGGACTGCAAATCCCACAATTCCTAACAGTCCGTTGTTAGGAATTGTGGGAGCTGCAGTCCAAAATACCTGGAGGGCTGAAGTTTGCCCATGCCTGTTATAGGAGGTGGTGACAAAGTCACAGATATGAAAAACAGGACTATAAAATGGCTCGAAAGAACTGGGGCTACTTAACCTGAAGAGGGTTAAAATGACAATACTCTAAATGGCTCACACAGAAGAGGGCAAAGACGGGTTCTCCACCCCCCACCCCCCAACTACCTACTCTTTCCCTATCTATTTTGAATAGTTTACAGGAGGATAGATTCAGAACTTGGAAATGTTTCTCCAAAAAAGCAAGACTATCATGTCACTTGTCAATTCTTACAAGAGAGTCATTGGTCAACACATTTCACACATGATTATTGATAACATTGCTACAAATGCTTGGCCTCCAGAGTCATAGTCCAATGCTTTAACCACTATTTCACACAGGCTCATGCTAAAAAAACAAAAAAAACAAAAACCCAAACAACCAATGTTTGCCCTGTTTTCATTATATGATTTTGACTTTACAAAAGAGCAACACATTTATGTTTCATGTGTCAACTAGTAAACATTATGTAATTTTTGGATGAACTTTAGAAGTAACATATTGATAGTAAGCACAGTTTCCCAATCGAAGAAATTGCTTAGAGGGATGGTTGGATCTTGAAGCAGAGGCTTGTCAGCCATCTGTTAAGGATGCCATGACTCTGATTTCCTTGCACTGAACAAGGGCTTGGAATAGATGACCTACAAGAACTCTCCTAATTCTGTGATTCTATATAAATTACCAGTCTCAGAACCTGCTTCAGACCTTCTTGCATGGAGGATTTTAGGAAGAACATTTTTCACACTATATTTCTTCCAAGAAGACAGTGTACTCTTTTCCTCTTACATATTTTGGAAGATTTTGTGGGATTTTTGATAGTGCATGTCCCTGGCAAGGAGGGAACTTGTCCAGCCTGTTAGACCTCACTCTCACCTATCATGAAGTGAAAAAATAGCCTACGATGCATCCAATATTGCTACTTCTCTTGTGCTATGGAACAAGATGGACAAGTTGTCTCTCAGAGAAGCTTCCAATAGCTCAAAATGACACAAGAAGTTCCAACTCCCACCTCTTTTTGTTCCTCCAGCCATATGTCAGCGGATGGGCACAGGCATGTTTGCACACCCAGCTCAGTATGAAGGGGCCTTTTTAAAACTAGCTTAAGCTTTCAGGGGCCTGCCATAACATGCTATATTCAAAGCAATATCTTGAACATTCCCATTTGCCTTCTTTGCTTTGATCCTCAGGGAGTGTGGAACCTCACTCCCTGCCCATTCATGGCAAAGTTTGAAGCCATTGTTCCACATCCTAGTCTTCTGCTGCCCTGGAGACTTGGACGTGGAACAATGGCTTCAGACTACAGGAAAGGAGATTCCGCCTGAACATTAGGAAGAACTTCCTAACTGTGAAAGCTACTCATCAGTGGAATTCTCTGCCTCAGAGTGTGGTGGAGGCTCCTTCTTTGGAGGCTTTTAAATAGAGGTTGGATGGCCATCTGTTGGGGATGCTTTGAATACAATTTTCCTGCTCCTTGGCAGTGGATTGGAGTGGATGGCCCAAGAGGTCTCTTCCAACTCTAGGATTCTATAAAAGTCTGTTTTGACCTTCTCCAGTGGTGACTGGTGGTTTCCACATCAACAAGGTGATGAATTTGCTCAGGTTTTTATGGGGGTTTTTTTATTATAAAAAGCTATCTGAGGTGCTGAACCTTGAATAGGTTCAGTTCCTTATTTAGCTACATTAAAGGCAAAATAAAACATTGTGTGGATCCACCACTCTACTGATAAAATTCACTGACTTCCACCATTATTCTGTCTAATTACATTGGTCAGAATTGTATTCTAGCACACCTGGGAGAAAAGACTGGATTAAAACTCACAGAATTTTGCAGCCTACCTAGCCACTGACCAGACTGCAATTGAACAAATAAAGCAACATCATCCTATTTCAAAATCATCTTGGTCTGCTAAAAAGACTGAGTAAAAAAAAGACTGAGTAAAAAAATGTTAGATAGGTATCTAAGACCCTAAAAGCTGCCACTGATCTATGGAAAAATATTGCCTTTCTTAAATGAATAAATAGTAGGACTTGGAACTAGGCTCTCTGTGATCCCATAATTCAGGGATGAGAATTGTGTTCCAGCAGCCCTGGTCAGTATATCCAATGGTGAGAAACGCTGAGATATGTACTTCAACATTTGGAGGGCTGCATTATCCCACCCTTGTTAACATTTCTTCCATTTGTACATGTATTTGGCAGACCAAAAGAAAAAGAGATCAGAACTGGTGTAGAATATTGCAGTATTATACACACATATATATTTTTTTTTACCTGGGTACATTGAGTTCTCTTCCATGAGGTCTCCTTGAAGCTTTGCTAAAGAAAAACTTGAGTCCAACTCCCACAGCTAACGTGAAGCTAATGACACCACAGATGACATAGACAGTGCTGTTGCCCTGTTGCTTGTTCCCATTTGCTATATCAGGTCCGCTTGTGGCCGCGCCAGCAACAGTCGTAGCAAACCATTGAGGGCTATCGCGGCACTTCCCTTGCTCCAGCCTCCTGGATCGGTCATCACAGCAGAAGCGGTACTGGCATGTGCCACAGCAGAAGCGGTATCCCCCCGTAGTACAGTTGAAGGCAGCATCGTACTGCCCCATCACATCATAGTAGCCTTGGCATGTTTCAGAGGGCCGGGCTCTGCTCACACTTGTTGTTGCGTTGCTATTCGATGACGTCAAGCGCTTCAGGTGGGCCAGCAAGCTGGGTAGCCCCCAACTCTGGTTTGTGTGATGTGGCACCTGAATGACAGCCAAAGCCGTGCGCCCAGCAAGGGCTTCCAGTGTAGCATACAGTATTACTGTCAGCAACTGGTACATGATCAGTGGGAGGAATAGAGCCAAGATGCTCAAGCAGGGTTTGCCAACGTGGATTGCTTCAGGTAATTAAAAAGTGTACAAAAGAAATCCAAGAAGAAACACTGCAAAGATAAAAAAAATGTAAGAATATTATGAAGAGCGTCTGCTGGATTAGAACAAAAAGTTATTCTGGCTCATAATATTGCTTCCCACAGTGGAGGCAAAACAGCAGATCCTGGGATCAAGATTCTTTCCCAATTGCTCCCCTCTGCTGAAGGACAGAAATGTGAGGGCTATGATATATAGCAGTGGTTCCCAACCTTTTTTTTTTTTTTACCAGGGACCACTTTGATTAGGGACCACTTGTCCAGGGACCACTTGACAAGGGACCACTTTGACCAGGGACCACTTGACCAAGGACCACTTTGACCAGAGACCAATTGACCAGGGACTACTTGACCAGGGACCACTCTCCAACATTAGTACCAAAAAAGTTATGAAACAGTTTTTGGTCAACTTTAGATTTGGTTTGGGGTGCTGATTCAGAAAATTGCATTGAATAGACCACATCAGCTCTAGTTTCTGTTACAGTACATATGCCATGATCAGTGACAGGGAAGAAGTGTCAGGTGGCACAAAAGGAGTGGAAACAAAACAAAACAAAATAAAGAGGAAGGAGACTCGCAGACCAGATTTTTGTCCTTGCGGCCGACTAGTGGTCCGCGGCCCACGGTTAAAAACCACTGATATACAGGGAGCTTCTACTTATATGATGGATCAGGGATAAATGATCTCAGAAAGCAGAATTGGTTGAAAAGTAGAACCCAAATTATTTCAGCATGCAAATACATTTTGGCCACTGAAAAGCATAAATAATACACTATATATCGTTTTTAAATATGTGATAAAGCTAAGAGAGCATTTGCATGCACTCAAATATTATTCAAGATGTAGTCCTTTCTTTTCACAAGCAAACCTTGGGACTGAGAGCATGTGTGCAAGCAAATCCCAAGTGAACTTTGTGGCCAAAAAGAACTGATGGAAGAAAGGACCCATTTTCAAAGTAATGGAACTTAGTTGTAATTTGCAAACATCGAAAGAGCAAAATGTCAGAAACCAAGGCATCAAAGGCAGGAGAAATCCCTAGACTGCCCCAGTGTCCTCAGGAAGAATGGAGGATCTTAGTCGATCATCAGTCTTGAGGCGAGATTCCAGTGACAATCCATTTTGGGAAGATTGCATTACCCTTTGACTTAGGTGGCAAAATATCATGGGCCAACTCTGCCTAGAGATTCAGTAGATTCTCCCCAGAAAACCACAAATAGAGATTGAAGGTGAATAACTCATCCCATCACATGTCATCAGCATCCAACACTGAAAGGTAATCTGCCTATAATGGAGGTTCTGTATCACCATCATGATTGATCAGAACCTAGAAATACTAATTGGAGATTCTGGCAGTTATAGTGGAATAAGGTATTTCTTTGCATAGCATGCAATTAACTTTTTGGAATTTGCTGGATTCAAGGCAGAGAAAAGAAAGGAGTTTGCTTCCAAAAGATGTGGCGGTGGCTAGGAGCTAAAGTAAATTGACAATTGAGAAGTGTATCAGTGCTTATTACAGTAGTTACAGAGTGTGGAAAACTTGTTTCCCTTTATACTGTACTAGCTAATGGTTTATTTTACTGAGAGAAACCACAGTATAAGACTAAAGAGAAGAATACCATACATAATGGTTCAAATCTTTATCATGGTCCCTGCCCCTGTGACTTAATTTAAAATAGGAAAGTTTCCAATTTTCTATCCCAGCTTCTGCAGCCCCTGCCCTCTAAATGCATCGTACTATAGCTCCTATCCAAGTAGGCTGAGGATGAATGGAGTTGCATATATATCTGGAGGGCTCTGGGAGAAAATTACTTTAGCATTTACTCACAAGGAAATTTCTCCAACCCTCTGAAAAAAAAGTGTGCCTAAGTGAGATGAGAATGATGTTTGTGTGTATATGCCTTCAAGTCGCCTGTCAACTTATGCCAACCCCATTAATCTCATAGGGTTTTCTTAGGCAAGGAATACTCAGAGGTGATTTTGCCAGTCCCTTCCTCTGAAAGATAGCCTGCAGCACCTGGTATTCATTGCCGATCTCCCATCCAAGTACTAACTTGAGCTGACATTGCTTAACTTATCACAGGGATAATTCCATGCAGGAAATTTTAACTTGCTGTAGTTTGCCAGACAGAAAAAAAGAAAATAGAGGGCTCATGCAGCATCCCTGATTAGAATCACAAAGTCATGGAGTTGGAAGGGGCCTCATGGGCCATCAAGTCCAATCCTCTGTTCAATGCAGGATCTCTAGTTAAAGCATCCCCAGCAGGTAGCTGTCTAGCTCTTTTTTTAAAAAGATGTCTAAGAGAAAGAGATCCCATCATCTCTCTAGGCCAGTGCTTCTACTATTGAACCAGTCTTGTGTCAAAAAAGTTCCTTCTAATATTCAGTTGAATTAGACCAGTTCTATCTGCTGGGACAGTAGAAAGCTTTCTTTTGTGGAGAGAAAAATTGGGGTATAAATAATAATAATAATAATAATAATAATAATAATAATAATAATAACAACAACAATAATAATAATTTTATTGTTTATTATTATTATTATTATTATTATTATTATTATTATTATTATTATTATTATTAGATGCAAGCAGAGCTGGATGATCTGGACAGAAAAGCAAGAAAACTGATGACGATCTACTATCCATTACACCCAAAAAGTGATGTCAATAGACTTTACCTGCCTAGAAAATCAGGAGGCAGAGGGCTTCTGCAAGTGAAGCAAACAGTAAAAGAAGAGATATATGCACTAGCAGTCAAGAACCAAAATTGATGGAAGTCAATAGTCGAAAACCATTCAAAGTGTAAAAGACAAAGAGGGAATCCTGTAAAAATACAATGCAGTGCAGAAGACAAAACTTGGCAAAAAAATATTCTCCATGGACAATGGTGGGGAAAATTGAGAACAAATTTTACAAGGAAAAAACATGGATGTGGCTCACAAATGGAACTCTGAAAAAGGAGACGGAGGCCCTGATTCTTGCTGCCCAAGAACAAGCCATTCGAACCAATGCCATCAAAGCCAGAATTGAAAAGTTGATGACAGATTCCAAGTGTAGACTCTGCAAGGAAGCAGACGAAACTATGGATCACATACTTAGCTGCTGCAAGAAGATTGCACAGATGGACTACAAGCAGAGGCACAACACCGTTGCTCAGATGATCCATTGGAACTTGCGCCACAAATAGCATCTGCCTGTGACAAAGAACTGGTGGGATCACAAGCCTGAAAAAGTTACAGAAAATGAAAATGTCAAACTACTCTGGGACTTCTGAATTCAGACTGACAGAGGTTTGGAGCACAATACTCCTGACCTCACGATCGTGGAGAGAGAAAGAACAAGTGTGAATTATCGATGTTGCAATCCCAGGCGACAGCAAGATTGACAATAAGCAACTGGAAAATGTACACAATATGAGGATTAAAAGATAGAACTGCAAAGATTCTCGCACAAATCAGTAAACGTGGCCCTAGTGGTGATCAGCACACTGGATGTAGTGCTTAAAGACCTTGAGCTGCACTTAAAAACAATCAGCATTGACAAAATTATCATTTGCCAGCTGCGAAAGGCCACCCTACTCGGATCTGCACGCATTATTTGCCAATACATCACACAGTCCTAGACACTTGAGAAGTGTCCGATGTGTGATCAAATACAAAAGCCAGTGTAGTGATCTTGTTTGTTGTGTACTAATCTTGTTATGCATCAAATAATAATAATAATAATAATAATAAGAGTGAAATCAAGTCACCTCTCAGTCACGTCTTCACCAAGGTCAACGTGCCCAGCACCTTTCCTCATAGGTTTTCTTCTCCATGCCTCTTTTATCATCCTTGTTGCCCTGCTCTGAGCCTGCTCCAACTATTTTTCTTCCTATTTAGATCAGGCTGTCTGATCTGTAGTAGACACTGATAGATGGCTGTGTCATATATCTAAGCAGCTAGGTGGGCAAGTGAAGAATTGACACTTTGGTATATTTCAGCACCAACCACACTGTGAAATATAGTCATAGAAGTCAAAGACATTAAACTCCAGAGCCCTGTATGACAGTACTTTGGAAAATATGACCGGTTTCACATAAAAGGGCAATAATATTATTAATCTCACTGCATGGATGAGACCGTCAGGAAAAAACATATTTATACCTTGGGGTCACCATAGCTGGGGGTGGGGGTGGGAGTGGAACCAAAACCTAGCAGTTCGAAAGCATGCAAATGTGAATAGATCAATAGGTACCGCTCAGGTGGGAAGGTAACGGTGTGCCATGCAGTCATGCTGGCCACATGACCTTGGAAGCGATAGCGGAGAACGCGGGTTCTTCGACTTAGAAATGGAGACGAGCACCACCCTCCAGAGTCAGACTCGACTGGACTTAATGTCAAGGGGAAACCTTTACCTTTACAGCAAATAGCCACAGCCTTTTTCAAGTTAATAGGCTCCATTTTAGCTACTCCATTTTTTTCCTTTTAATTTTTAATTTCTTCTTTCACCCCATCAATACTTGACTTAAGTTCAAGCTTCTGTTCTACACAAGAATCTGTTTTCATATTTGAGCAAAGAACAAGGAGTCCCACAGCTCTGTTCAAGTAATAAGATGGATAAACATCTCTTGGGACCTCAGAGTGCAGGGAGGGGAACCTTTCAAGGCTGAATTCCATTACATGCTATTTCAAGCCATTTATTTTGCCACAAATACTGTAGTCCATAACAACAATTCATCCAGCCATCAGGAAAGGTGGTATGGGTTTAGCCCAAAGCTGGAGGTTCTGCCCAAGTGATAGACAAGTGTGAGAAAGGTGAAAGAAATTGTGCATCTCTGGGCCAGACTAGATATGAAGTTAAGTAAGTCTCTGTGTTAAATGAGCTGTTTTTTCTTAATGGACATAGCATTAGTACAGAGGCAGGAGTAATCATTATTACCATGGAGTTTGATTTTAAAAGCAGCTGAAAAGGTAGGACAACGAAAGATTAATTGGGACAGTTGAGGGAATGTTATATTGGAAATTCCATAACCTATTGGAATTAACTGCACCACAACCTTATTGAAAAGGTAAAAATGATGTCAGTGGGTTAAACCGCTGAGCTGCTGAACTTGTTGACTGAAAGGTTGCTGTTAGCCCCAGCTTCTGCCAACCTAGCAGTTCAAAAACATGCAAATGTGAGTAGTTCAATAGGTAACGCTCCAGCGGGAAGGTAACGGCGTTCCATGCAGTCATGCCGGCCACATGACCTTGGAGGTGTCTACAGACAACGCTGGCTCTTCAGAAATGGAGATGAGCACCAACCCCCAGAGTCGGACACGACGGAACTTAATGTCAAGGGAAAATCTTTACCTTTACCTAAAAATGATGTCACATCCATTTGGTAAATGTGAATCTCCATGAACATGTGGAAACCACCTTTTGAAAGTATGACATGCATTTCTGTGAGTACAGCTATACTTAGAGACTATGGACTAGTATGCTGAATATATACAAGAAATTTGTTTGTAAACCTAAGATGTTATTTTAAAGAAGACTATTTTGTTTTGTCTCTTGAGTGCATATTTTTAAAAGAGGTTTTAAGGGAGAGTAGGCTGCTAACCAAATATATTTTTGTAGTGGCATGTCTTTCTCCTTGGCAGTTTTATACCGAGGGTTGTATGTTGTATGTATGACTATGTATGACTATGTGTTAATTGTGTTATGTGTTAAATGTTTTGATACGGCCAATAGGCCAATCAATAAAACGTATCTATCTATCCTTGGCAGTTTAAAGACATGGTTCTTCAGTTTAACAGCTGAGCTACCCATTTGCCATTACATGAATGTTTATGAATATCCCTTGTTCAATGAGTTGACTTCTAACAAGGTCATGCTTTTCTTGACTCGTAGTTCCTCTACTAAAGTCCAAACAGCAACATGCATCCACCTCCACTGAGGTCTGATGCAAACCAAATACAAAATGGAGTCCTGTGTCTGAAGCCCCTCCCACACCAAAGAGGTACAGTCAAACTGGGAAACCAAAATGTACATACAATATAGGTTAACAATTATACACATTTACAAACAGTTAATGGAGGCTTGGAATGTTGCTATTTCCAACATATTACTGGTCGTATCTCAATCTATTACGAATACTCAAAGGATAACCATAATCAAATAATCTCTAATCAAATCTGGTTTGGAGATGAAATATTGATTGGCAAAGGACCAGAGCTCAACCACCACATATTTGGGATGTGAATGAAAGCATCCCAGGTTCAATTCCTGCTAATATCTCCAGTTAGAAATATTCCTGCCTGAATGTTGGAGACCTACATCTAATCAGTGTTGACAGTATTGAACGAAATGAACCAATAGGTTTGCTTGATATAAGCCAGGTTTTTAATGTTCCTTTGATTTCAGCTTGACTTAAGCCTCCCTTCAACATTTAAAACTACTGCTTTGAAATAGTTTTAATAGGCTAGATGACGAGATTACAAAAAAACATTTTGATCCACTGATGAAGAGGTGTCCACGATTAGTCAGCCTATTTAAAAGCAGCCTCACAATAATATCAGATAATTTCAGTATCCTGTGAACATTATTATGCATTATTTATTACTCTGCTTTTTAAAAAATCCTTTGCAGATTTTCACACACTTTTAAATTATGTTCCGATGACATGGAGACTAACAGATGGACAGCTTAAGCGGATTTTGCAAGCCCTCAGAGGTGTGAGAATACTTATAGTTCATGTCATAATGAGGAACACCAGCTATGCAACATTAAGTTATTGCTCTGTCTGTACTTAAACCTGCATTGCATTGTATGTAGGTATGTAGGTATGGGCCCCGGTGGCACAGCAAGTTAAATCGCTGAGCTGTTAAACTTGCTGGCCAAAAGGTCAGCAGTTTGAATCCAGGGAGTAGTGTGAGCTTCTGCTGTTATCCCCAGCTTCTGCCAACCTAGCAGTTTGAAAATATTCCAATGTGAGTAGATCAATAGGTACCATTTCTGTAAGGTAACTTCACGCCACATGCTGGTCCTATGAATTGGAAGTGTCTACAGACAATGCCGGCTCTTCAGCTCAGAAATTGAGATGAGCACCACCCCCCAGTCGGACACGGCTAGACTTAATGTCAGGGGAAACCTTTACCTTTAGTATGTGTGTGTGAAATATGTTATTTACACACACACAAATACCCAAATTCTGTATATCCTTAATTTGTGAAAGTCTTTACAAAATTATCATAAATGGTTTTGATACAAATGGCACCTCTCTATTTGATGGACATACTGTCATAATATAGGACAATCTTTAACTAGTCATTTAGTCCACTAACATCCTACTTTTGACAGCATTGAGTGGAATGTCTTTAGGAAGCCCAAATGCAGAGTCTGAAGGCAATAGCTCTTTTCTGATTCAGTATAGAGTCAGTCTTAGATGAAATGGTGTCCTTGGAGAGTAATGTTTTTGCACCACCCTCCTCCATGAGTTCAGATTTAAATACCTTGTCCTTTTAATTGCATTTGTGGGCCATTTCACAAGGCTGAAATGTAATTTAATGGCGTCATCATAAAAGATGTTCATACACATAAATCCAGTCATAAGCACTAACTCAGTGCTTCCTAAGCATCCTGATGTGGGAGACTGGCAGTTTATTTTTCTTAATTGTCAGGCACTGGTACCATATTTGTGCCCGTCGGCTATAAGTATTTCTTTCTTTCATGGATGCTCTTTAGGGACTAACAGCAGACGGCTCATAGACCAGCGTTGGTTCACAAAACCTAACTGAGCAGCAATTAATTAAGTTGCACACTGGGTTGCTGTGAGTTTTCCGGGCTGTATGGCCATGTTACAGAAGCATTATCTCCTGATGTTTCGCTCACATCTATGGCAGGCATCCTCAGAGGTTGTGAGGTCTGTTGGAAACTAGGCAACAGGTTTATATATCTGTTTATATATTTGTGGAATAATGTCCAGGGTGGGAGAAAGAACTCTTATTTGTTTGAGGCAAGTGCAAATGTTGCAAGTAGCCACCTTGATTAGCACTGAATGGCCTTGTAGCTTCAAAGACTGGCTGCTTCCTGCTTGGGGTAATCCTTTGTTGGGAGGTGTTAGCAATCCCTGATTATTTCCTGACTGGAATTCCCGTTTTCTGAGTGTTGCTCTTTATTTACTGTTTTGATTTTAGAGTTTTTTTAATACTTGCAGCCACATTTTGTTCATTTTCATGGTTTCCTCCTTTCTGTTGGAATAG